CGCGAGCACCAGAGCTTCATATCAGTTTATCGCTTCTGGTGTTGCTAATAGTCTAATACTCATGTTCCTGTTTGCACTGGTGTGCATGTGCAAATAACTGGTTATATTAACATCTAAAACTCTTCAACACATGTCTGAGCGCATGGCATGTTGCTCAATAAAAAAAAGTTACAACATGGTCACGTTTTCTCTGCATGCTTTGCATAACGTCGATTCCCAAGGAACTTGAGATCTGCCGAACTTTTTTTTTCGGAAGAGTGGAAGGGGTGCACTTGTTGGATAACTTCTAGAAAACACATTTTTATTATTTTCCTTCAATTTAACACCCGTCTACAGCCGATTCTACGGGGTCGGAGGGGGGGGGGGGCTGGGGGCACTGATTGTTCACCAATAGAACTGCGCTGAATGCTCACGAACAGAATATTAACCGGTGCTGTATGAAGCGTATGAAAACGTTTACATTACGCCACCAAGTACTTATGCACAAATTCGCTGTTTAAGGATCTTTGACAAGCGCAGGCCTGTCCACAGTAATTGTTATTCAATGACTTTGTCGATATGATTTTCATAAGAGAGAGAGAGAGAGAGATAAAGATACAAGGAAAGGCAGGGAGGTTAACCAGACGCACATCCGGTTTGCTACCCTGCACTGGGGAAGGGATAAAGGGGAGAAAAGAGGTTGCACAAAGATGAGAAGGTACACACAATCACGAGCACACTCGGGGAGCACACACAGTTCACTGGCGGTCGCTCAGGTTTGTTGACTTAAGGTAAAGAAGCAGTGCTTTAGTTGCTTTCTGCGCAACTGAGGCAGATGCCCAAGGTCCTAGTATCTTCTGCACACAAAATGGTCCGGGGTCAAGTCGATTCAAAACCATCCGTAGCTGGCATCGCTGTGTGTCGTAGCAAGCGCAGCTGCACAGGACGTGTTCGATGGTCTCTTCATCTCCGCAGTAGTCGCATGTAGGAGTGTCTGCCATACCAATGCGAAAGGAGTACACCTTTGTAAATGCAACACCCAACCAAAGGCGGCATAACAGTGTCGCATTGGAGCGGGAAAGTTGTGATGGTAGCTTTAGCTTGAGCGAAGGATCCAGTTCATAAAATTGACACCTTTGGAAGCTGGTAGACGACCAGAACGTGCGTGTGAGATCTCGAGCCAGCAGGTAAAGTTGTCTTGCTGCATCATTCCTTGATAGAGGAATCGGGACTACACGGGTTTCTTCATGGGCTGAGCGGGCTGCATCATCGGCTAGTTCATTTCCGGTAATACCGATCTTCATAATATATTAAATATATTTGTACGACATGAATGAGGCCAACTTATAACTAAAGCTATTGTACTTATCTTTATTAGCTGCGATAATAGGAAATGTTTAGGTACTAAAGAGCCCACTATACCTCGAAACTGTATGCGCAAAAAAGAAATGTGAGGCTCAAGAAAGAAACAACGCAAAATTACAAATTGATTGAAACGAATGAAAAATGAAGAAATCGCCATAAATATTCAAGAAGTGAGAAAGACACACTATAAAATAAATGCTAAATATTATCGCAGAGCTTTATATCATTAACAATACAGCGACAAGCACGATTTTTTACAGGAACAGACAGAGTATATATTGAAATAGTATCGTTCGAAGCAAAGCGCGTTCAATTCAACACATTATACCCAATTCAAACCACACCCCCTCTTATAGAGTACATGGAGAAGTGAGCACATCGCATACCATGTTCATTAACAACTGAGCTTATGACAGGCTTCTTGGTGACTCAAGAACGCGCGCGCATATTATTCGCGTGCACGATGTAACGCACAAGACATTGCGAGCACGAAAATGGCTATAGCCTTGTGCACACGGGCATTGCAGAAAAGCCAGCTTTGACGAGCGAATATCTCCCCGTTACGTGCTACGCTCGTAACTCGGAGATGGGCGTTCGTCAAAGCTTGCAGCTGTTGATTGCGCGCTGCTGACTCGTACTGGAAGTACATAAGCACATATATGATTCTGTTTATAACACCGAAATCATTCGCCTTTTGAACTGGAACGACTGACAACCATTTTTGCGACAACTGTGGTAGCGAAAAAACATTGGAGCACATCTTCTTCCCTCACAACGATCTGCAGAGAACATGTCAATATCAGCCGCTCTAGCTCGGATATATTAAAGACCGATGACGGCAGAAATAATTCTGTAGTGCCACTCTGAGAGATTATCGGGGATGAAGGCGACCAAGACAGTGCTCAACTTATTGAAGGCAACAGACTTGCACCAGCGATTGTAAATTTAATGTGCTATTAAGACTGAGATGTGGGCGACTTTGTGTGCATGCGCTCATCTCTATCTCTCTTTCCACATATTTAACCCCCTCTCCTTCATAGGGTAGCATACCAGTTCCCTTAGATTGGTTAACATCCGGGCCTTTCCTTTCCTTCCTTCCTGTCTATAACATGAAAATTTTCATTTTCAATGTGTATGCGCGAATCACACATCGTGTCTAATATCGAATCAACTTGATGCATTGCTATTTTTGCCTGGTCGGCTACTTCTCTGCACAGCAATGAACCTTCGGTTGTGAGCCAGATCTTACCTGTGCAGTGGCGCCGTTCTTACGTTATAGTGAGCCCAACGTGCTTGCACTGTGTGCGCGTATAGAGTCACAAAGATCCATTTATGGTGCATTTGATGACGTTTCGGCAAGCCATACATAGTCCACATTAGACCATCTTTAGTAATCCTAATATTTGTTTTGATGAATGCTTCAACCTTTGTCATGCGTCCAAGATCTTCATACTGACTTCAAAACCACCTTGCAAGATTTCGCCTATGCTAGTCCTGCTGCATACAAAGTGTATGTGCTCCTCCATAGGAGGCCATTGTAATAAAGATGGAAGTCATGTTAAAGGGCAATATTGTTGTCCCTCTTTGCAAACATAAAATATTATGCGTATTTCATCCATCTCATTTCACACAATCTACATGACTGCGTCCCAACTATTTGATTTAGGGACCTGCCGCAGTCAGCCAGTTTGCGAAGCGTTAGTTTCATTCAGCGCACTCAATTATTCCAGGTCCTGCAGTCGTGTGACCGGTGGAGCTGTCAGACTCATAATGTGAATGTCTCAAAACTTCTCAAGGTTTAGGCGTCCTATCTGTTAACAAGAACAACGTATTAGATCAATAACGGCAACACCTTTTCACCATCCCGATGTCCCTTCAATTCGTTACAAACCAACATTTAACAACAAGAAAAAAGATAAGCAGGCTTCTCCACATAAAAGCCCTTTTTGTGGTGAAGCTAGCTTTGACGACCTATTTTAATGGGCGTACTGTGAAGAATCCAGAAATCTCTTACCTACGTAAAAAGCGCACCACCTTTTCACATTATGTGAAATGTATGCACAACAGTTCAACAGATGCATTTTTATGAAAAAAAAACCAATATTGTGACTATACAGCCCACGTTTCGATTCGCAGTTCTTGTGGAAGGCTCAGCTGATACAATGCGAACACGAAGACAACACACATACGATTAGCGACTGCAGCTTAACTGGAACAACATTGGTGCACATCGTATCTCAAAGGTGATATTGATTTCAATAGTATGATATGATTTAGGCTCACACTCAAAACTCTTTCCGGCGTGCCATATACGTCTGCTGTACAGGAAGACCAGCAAAAAGGGGCACATGCACACGAGACATGCATGTATGCTTAAATCGGTATACTGTCTGAAAAAAGGTGACTGTTATAATTTTTAGTGCACCCAGTTGCTCCACAAAAAAAAAAAAACACAAAATTTACGTGTGCCGTGGCAACGGGTTGCATGGTCACACTTGCCTCGAGTATCGCTGCACTGGTCGACAGACTTAATTGGTCATGTCACTTCTGCCACTCGCTAGTATGAATTATCTCCAAATGTTTTTTTTTTCGCACTTTGGTAGTAACACGGCTGAGCGTTACAGAGGGAGGCCGTTTTGAACCTTAACAACGCCTACAGACCCGTTTCGCGCAGACGAAACAGTCTGCCATCGATCGGCCTTGAGCGTAACACCACAGCCAGACAATTGCGCGAGTGCCACAGCCCTCTGCCTGGGGCTAATATGCGTGCAGCTGCGCGTCCGCACAGAGTGTCTGGACCAATGCCATCAAAAATGCGGAAAAAGCATGCTCTGTCCTGTCTTTCCGGGCGCTGTAGAGCGGTAAGTGCTACACTGCGCGTTTCCCAATGACGGAAGCCGAGTTTCGTCGATTCAGCTCACGTTTTACTACCGCCTGGTCGGAGTCCGATGCGCGAAGGCACCCACGTCACCTTATGCTTTGCCTTTTACGCATGTGGGGGAAAGGATGAAGAATATAGTGCCGCTTCGTGGTGTCCTTTCAGTTGCATTGATTGAGAAGCGCGTGAACTTGCCCCAGGAAGAAAAAAAAACTTCCACCACAGACTGCCGGAATACGAAGGTTTTATTTCTTTTTTAGCGCCTAGATGCTGCTGGTGAGGGATTCTAAAGCCGGTTAAGTGAGCGATGCCTCAAATCGTTACGATGAAGGTAAAGTTGGCGACACATCAACTGTTCGTTAATGCACTTGTATCGCCAGAAGTTCGCCGTGACTCGGCTGGCCTCCGAATGAAGCGTAATACGAAGCCTCGACCGACTCGCCGCTCCGTGCGCTGTCAGCGAGCGTCTCGCTTCTACGCGCGCGATTTCGTAAATAGCCGGGCGAGCGGGGGGAGAAAAAAAACAAGCCGGTCGCGCACGCCGACCGACGAATGTGGGCGTCCCGCGCGAAACTGCTCCCATGACGTCACTGTTTGAAAGGCGGAGCTTGGTTGCGGGGATCGCCTCCTCGTGGGCGTGGTTCGCGGCACGCACCGCAGCGCCGGAGGCTGGGAAGGGTGTAAGCAACGCGCTACGGGGAGTAGCAGTGGCTGTGCGCGCTCAGTGCGAGTGAGGAGTCGTCCCGCAGCGTGCGACGATGCTCGCGGGAGCAGCAGCATGATGGACACCGCCGGCGGCCTGGGCCGGCCGCGAACGGCGGCTGCCGCGGCCGCTGCCGCCGCCGCAGCTGCCGCGCGGCTCGACACTTACGAACAGGAGCTAGGAGTGTCCGAAGCGCCGCACTTCCAGAACGGATTCGCCATGCACACGCCCCACCCGCACGTGTCGGCCGCGGGATACACGGCCGCCGTGGCCAGGGACTTGCTGTTTCGCGGCGCCACGGACCTGGGGCCGCCGCCCCCGCACCACCACCACCACCACGCGGCCACCGCCGCCGATGGCATGTTTGTGCACCACCACCACCATCACGCAGCCGCGCAGGACCTGTATTCGTCGCGACTGCCGCTCACCGCGGCCGACGTGTACCGCGGCGAAGCGTTCCAGCCGCGGCCCGAGCCCGTGTACGCCACTTCGATGGGAGGCCATCCGCACGGCGCTTTCTTCCGCTACATGAGGCAGCCCGTGAAGCAGGAGCTGACCTGCATGTGGGTGGAGCAGCCGGCCATCCACCACCACCCGCACCACCATCCGCACCACCACGCGCAGCTGAGCAGCAACAGCCCGCGCAAGCCGTGCGGCAAGAGCTTCTCGTCCATGCACGAAATCGTGACGCACCTGACGGTGGAGCACGTGGGGGGACCGGAGTGCACCAACCACGCCTGCTTCTGGCAGGACTGCGTGCGCAACGGCCGCCCGTTCAAGGCCAAGTACAAGCTGGTCAACCACATTCGCGTGCACACCGGCGAAAAGCCGTTCCCGTGCCCGTTTCCCGGCTGCGGGAAGGTGTTCGCGCGATCCGAGAACCTCAAGATCCACAAGCGAACGCACACAGGTCAGTCTGTTATTATTATCTCGATCCGCGAACTTTCTCGTACACGCCTGCGTGATCTTGTTGAGGAGCTTTTTTTGTTTTTTTTCTTGCAACTACGCCGTGTTTACGCGAACAAACCCGAACCGCCGGAGAAATATGCACGTACAGCTGATTTCATTGCGGTGCGCTTCCCTCCGAGAAAAAATATCGCGGCCAGTGAACTGTATGCATGGCCTTCGCAGGTCCCTGCAAGTCTCCGGCTTGGGGGAAATCGCGCATTCGCAAGCTCCACGTGTGAACGACCCGAACGTATATAAACTACAGCTGGGGAACCCTGCGTTTGTTTCCATGATTTCAACTCGAGTATAGAGAGAGAGAGAGAAACGCACAGGCGGGCCTTACAACAGAGTCGCGCGCCCTTTTTCGAAGAAAAGAAAAACGCGACGCGCATCGTACGTTATACACTCGCCGCAGGAGATCTCTCAAAGCGTATTAGGCGTGCACGAATCTCTGGCGCACCGCACCGATCGAACAGTGCAGCGCAACGGCAACGCGCTACACAACGGCCGGCCGTCCATTATTTACGCCGTTAGCCACAAGGTGTTTCTTTTCGCGCAATCCGAGGAGCGAGTGCCCTCCTCTCTTCTCCGTCCTCCCTCCTTCACTCCACGCGGCGGCGCTCCACGCGGCGGCGACCGCTCCTTCCTTCCGTCACCGCAGCGCGGTGTCGCGGGCCTATTATGCACCCGAACGAAGACTCCCTTTCCGTCGACGACGAAGCGGGCTATAGTGTGTGCAGCGGCCCGTCATCGGCAATTTGCGAGGCCCTGCCCGAGTGTATACTCGTTTGTTAACCGGTCGACTATTGTTACTTCTCGACGCGAACAGGTTTCGTGACAAATTTCTCCCTTAGTCGCCTTTAACCGATGGCGTAAGGCGACATGTATAGACGATGTCTCGCGTAGTCAAAGAGGACCAGTTAATGAGCGATTGTTTGTGGGACTTCGTGGGCGGTGGCTGTTCGAATTATATTTTTTGAATAAGCGCCTCGATCGTATTCGTAAATTTTTGCTTGTAGTGAACAGCTCCTCCTCACTGAATAACACTAAGATTCCTTGCTTGTTCGACTGTATGTATATTTGTATATACATCAATAGGTATAATTGTTAAACGAAACTAGCTGGCGAATTATTATTATTATTATTATTATTATTATTATTATTATTATTATTATTATTATTATTATTATTATTATTATTATTCATGACAGTGTTCGAAATGGGAAGCACCTTGCGGCATTGACTAACCTTCATTCGACGTTAACCCACGGGGATTCGACTTGACTGTGCTCTAATTAGGAAATTTTACGCGATGCCCCCAAGACCACATATATGAATACGATTCTGCTGCGTAATACGTTTACAATATTTCACTAATAAAGTGTGGGGAGAATGGGGTAGTGACATTGAGTACTCTTTGATGAGCAATGTGCACGAAGCTGTATATTGTGACAATGACAATTAATGGTTTTTCTCTGCTGATTACCGAGTATTTTGAAGCATTTGATGACGTGGTAAAACGGCTCAATGTGATTGCCGTGCATTTTTTTATCTGAGCGTGCCATATTTATTTGTTTATTTATTTGTCTAAAGGAACTGTGGACGCGTGATTTTGTGATAGTAGGAGAAAAAAATAACAAAAATAAATAAATGACACCGTGCACGCAGAACAATGAAACGTATATGTAAATAAACATCAATGACTGTTTCTAAGGCTGTATATAGCAAGTCCAACATGAAACACAATGCAAGCACAACGTTTGAACATTACATATAATTTTCAACACTAAGCTTCGAATAAATATACCTCGTGCATATGTCCTGTGAAGTCCATGGAAGCGATAACATGGTATATAGGTGGTTTTCTTTTACAATGTTCCATAAAAACATTGCGCTTGAAAATATTACATCACGCAACAAAAAAAAAAAGGGGGCGCTAATCAATGGTATAGTTTCAGCAATCAGGCGAACGTCAATGGTCTAAAGTTTTGTTCGCATAATATTTTTTTTAATTCTGATGACGCTGATGTGCACGTTAACCAAGTGTATGCAATGTAAACCTCAGTGATAGCACGTACAAAAAAAGAAGTTATGCACGAAGGGATGTGGCGATGTGATACAAAACTTCACGTCTCTCAGTTATAACTGTGCACCGCTTTCGGCAATGCATTGTGTGTGTAACGCAAAGCGCATCGACACGTACGCATTTCATAAATATACAGAAACATATTTAAATAACGCGTGCCTTTAACCTTCTGTATTAACCGAACGATACTGGAATGCAGAAGATTCTTCGTTTCGCTTTATACCTAGTATTCTTGCCGACATTTAACCGACTTAATTAGCCTGAGTAATGCCTTCGAAAATGGCAATACACCGCTGTTCATCTTTTAAAGAGAAGGGCTTCCGTTATACGTATATGCAAACGCACTCTGTAATGTATGCATATGGCAAGTCTTCGAACACCTGTTGAAATGCTGAAGTATACCGTAGTTACGTTTTTTGTTGTTATGTTTTTCTCTAGTTTTGTTCTGTTTTAATACTGTTCGCGACAAAAGGCGGCAGCATATCATTTGAATATAATATCGCTTGACGTGTATACTTACTGCGTTTCTGTGGCGCTGGTTAACCCGATGGTTGGCAAAGACTACTTCACATCTACGAGAGCTGATTTAAAAAAAAAATGTAATTTTGTGGGGACCTCAAACAGGGGTGAGGCACAATTTAGCAAGTTTAAATAATTACGTCATGCGGAACTAGTGCACGCCAACTTTTTGATACTCGGTAGCAGTCACGTACGTTTGATCTGTTTATGTGTAAGATGTGTGTGTGTTTTACAGCAGCTGTTCATCTCCTTGCTTTCACTTTTAGGAAGCACCCTATTCAAAATAGAAAGCCCTGCACCATGCAAAGCTGGCAGCGCCATCTTTCACCAAACTCTCCAAACGTAACGTCAGAAAAGTTCACTGAGATTGGCCGTTTATGTAAAGAGACGCTACAGACGCGTCGTTTTTAGACGCTCTCTTTCAAAACCAAGTGTATCAATGTTGAAATACAAACGAGAAACGCATCTGGGCTCTCTTTGCGAAGGTCAGTGGTGTTATGGCACCGCTTTGGCATTCTGCGTAAGAATTCGATTCCAGAATAAGACTATCGAGCCGATATGTAGGTATAATAGAGTTGGGGGAATGGTCGTTATGAGTACACCACCTTCTTTGCATAACAATGTGTTATCTTATAAAGGCGCGAAAATCGGGTTATAAAAACAGTGATATAAGAGCTCACTTTTATCTCGGTAAACAGAAATGTGCCAGGTTACCCAAGCACTCGCTGCATGCTTTTCCGGTGTCCTTTACTGTATACACACATATGAGAACGTGATGCTTTGGAGGTGTATTCGTGCTGTATACACGTCTGCTGCATCTGTGGGCGATTTCTGCATTCCATATAAAAAGCGATGAAGTCAAAGCGCGCAGTATATATACTCCGCTCCGTGCAACTGTGTCGCTATCGCCTAAAGGTCCTTCACCGCACACACCAAGGACATTTTGTTGCTTCTGAGCGCGTGATATGAAGTTTTATCGAAGAAGAGAACTGTGTTTTTATACGGAACATATACGGTGTATACTTATGAGAAATGGAACAGTGTGTATGGCTATACAGAAGATAAGACATATACCGTGTGTCCTAAGGGCGGGGATACAACACAGGTGGGCATGCATAAGTTAATAATGATAATAATGTGCAGCTAATTTCAGTTGTTTATAGTCTATCTATGTTGTTGTGCGTAATTCTCCTCTCTGCATGTCAATCTCATATATATATATATATATATATATATATACACTCATTGCACCTTCACGCATTGCACCCTCTTATATAATCACCAAACAATCCCTTTCCATTATACTATACCAGAAATTATTCACCAACCAAGAATTAAGAGCTTAATGATCTGATAACTGCGTAGCAGGCACTTAATACGTTACATGCCTGTATATGCAGAGATTCTTATCATGTTTCGCTTCGCACTGAGTGGAATAAATCTATTTCTACGGTGTTAGTCATCACTCCCGAAATGCCACATCACAAAAAGTTAGCGTAAATAAATCTGCGTTCCATATCTGAGGTTAGGAAATATTAGAGGAATTTTATGAGAGGAATATTAGAGGAATATTAGAGGAAATATTAGAGGAATATTAGAGGAATATTAGATGAAATATTAGAGGAAATATTAGAGGAAATATTAGAGAAATATTAGAGGAAATATTAGAGGAAATATTAGAGGAAATATTGGAGGAACACAATGCCCGCACGCGCGAGCCACAAAACTTATCTTCTTCTCCTTCTCTCTTTTTTTTTTCGATAATAATTCGTGTTTGGTCGTACACTTATAGAAAAAAAAAGAAAACTGTTGGTCAGAGTACGAACTGATCGAGAAACAAAACAACGAGTAACAAGTCGCCTACCTTTAGAATATAATCCAGTGGCCACTACAAATTTGGTGCATAGTTTGTTTAGTTGCCGAGTTCCTGCTAAATGCATGTAATAATAAAACCATCACAAACCAGTTTTATTCGCTGCGTTTCGAATCAGAGGGAGACCCGCGATAACGTAAATGACCCGGTAAAGCTCACGTGGTCTCCACCATCCACCATGATCTAATCTGCGCCCGATCAAGCGCACTGTCTTACACGGCGAATCAACAGGAACTCCTTAAAAGCGCGTGCACTGGAGAGATGGCAAGATACGTATCAACGTTGGTCGGCTCGCTGAGTTTGCCTAAATGTGATTCGTTTAAAGGCTCGCGCCCGTAAAGATGACGTTTCTAAGTTCTTCTCCGCGCAAGCTTTTCGCGTTACGGTATATACACACACTCAAACGCGTGCTTCCAGTCACGTGCAGAGTCACGTGTGTACTCGCCAACGTGTGCACACAGACATTAAACGCACAAAACAAGAG